CTCTATTGAATATTATACTATGCTCTAAAGTCTAAAGTATTTATTGAGACTTTACAATGCCGAAAGGAAAGTTAACAATATCTACGGCACTAAAATTATTGAGCCCTATCTTGAGAACACTCGCCTCCGCAGTCGCACAATTCGGTGCAGGTCACATCGGACTTGACAAAGCTGCATCTTTGTGTGCAACCTTTCTTACATCCACAAATCAAGTGCGTGGAAGTAAAAGTCAAGCAGGCGGTATTTTGTTCTGTCATTGAGATATTTTCATAGAATAATTTTGTTTTTTCAAAATGTGATAATTTTAAGTAGGTATGTAATTTCTCGATGGTGGTATTTATTCATTTTAGAAAACTTGTCTAAACGTTTATTATTTATTGACTCGGTCTCGACCATAACGCTACAGTATTCAAGGTAAAGAGATTTTTACTATAACCATTTGCATCCATGTTGTTAGAGATTAATCTTAGGAACAGGAAAATCTCTATAGTAATTACTTTACTGAATGATAAGGTAACACATAGCCAAGGGACGCAAAAAATGAATTCTAAATTAGTGCTGGAGTGCATTCGAATCATGGGTCAGGTCGCGGAAGTGGAAGATAATTCCTCTAAATGGTGGATGGAAAAGAACAGCGCACTCGATGATGACATTCTGGAGTCGGCCAAAAACTAGAGACTAGTCACTAGACTCTAGACTAGGGTATAAATGTTTCACGCCGAGGTACGTGGAACTGATGATAGGAGAACGCCGCGTTCTCTAAAGGAATTTTTTATATGTACACCTTTTATCGTTGAGTGAAGGATTAAGGTACCTAGGTTTTTAATAAAATAATAAGCATTTCTTTACGCCAGCGGCATTTTAGTGTCGTGGAAAACCTCGGGAAATACTTAGTAGTATCTATGAATTGTACGCTAGCCACTTATTTATCTAATAACAAATTTTATTTGAAAGGGATACGCAACAAAAAACGCTAAACAAAAATTCCATTTTGTTTCATCTACAAACATCGCATTTTTGTAGCCAGTTAGCCACGCGATAGCAAATACCTTTATTTGTTACTCACTTGTAAACGTTGATTAACAAGACAAAACGCAAACGGGTAAACGTCATGTTTAAACGCTACTGACTTGTAAAACTGACAGCAGACCTGTAAAAATTTTACAAGTTAGTAATCTAGTAATTTCATTGGCCAGAATTAATGCGAAGTCTCTGTTACATGGATCACATGATATTTTAGACATTTCTTCAAGATCAATTTAAGAACTAATTATTTACGTTTACTATTGTTTACAAATGAGTAACAAATAAAATATTGTACATCATACGCCAGGTAATAGTTGTTACTGGCTCTAGGAGATGACAGGCTCGCCTAACGGCTCGCCAGTCAACTTCTCCTATCGCCAGTAAAAACTCACTTACCTGGCTAATAATGTAAAATACTATAATATATTAATACAGGAAACTCGCTACTATTTGCATTTGCGTACGTGTGACACGTGAATGAGCGCCATCTTTACGGCGCGGTGTGCAATGACGAAAAAATAAGAAGAGAATTATTTATATTCCCAAGAGTATTTAACATCATAGGGGTATGATATTATCAAATACCATCATATTATCAGTTTATCCATAAGAATTTTGCAAAATAATCACTTATTGCACAAGAGGTTTGTATTTTACCGAGTAAATTTGGGTTGTTTAGGTAATGAAAATCTGTTGCCTAGCAATTAGACGAGAAAAACTGCCAACTAATAAAAATGCGACACCGCAGGTGGAGCATTTTTAGATTGACAGTTTTTCGAGTTCAATTGCTAAAAGGAAACAGATTTGAATTGGCACAACCCAAATTTACTCTGTTTAAATACAAACCTCGAGTGTAATTCGGCAGGACAATTTATCGAACAAGAAATTCACCAAACTATTCATTTATTGACAGACGTCAAACTAGTCATATGGGGAAGGATAATGTGATTATTGGTTCGAAAATGAATAGTGTAAAAACCACTAGTGCATTTGTCGCTGGAAAAGATGCAGGTAACTTTTGCCGCTGTCAAAGTGACAATTGCACTGCGGCTTATGCGATTTTTTATACATGAGTTGAATTGTCTGTAAAAATTAATAAATACCCTAAAAAAGCGAGTTAATATTCATCTGCTCATTTCTGTAATGGTACCTTGGTAGATAATTTCTTTGCCTTTTCAGGTTTCTAATAAGGTAAGGTGGGGTAAGTTTATTTGGAGGAAGTTAATAATGAAGAAATAATACGAAAACCATGCGAATACTAGAGGTTTCATATAATAAACTACTAAAGGAAGTCTCTCAGCTAACTTTTATTGTAGCAGTACCTACAGTTAAATCTTTATTTTGCCTTAAGAGCTTATATATTTTGTAAACAACCTGTTTATGTTTTTAAAAGTCTTTCCTTTGTGTTCTTAAAAAGTTCGTACAATCGGTAACACTTTGCTGAACAATAATGAAGTGCTAGAGCAAAATTCTTCTGCAATTCTGAGTATCTACGACCTCTTGGTTTACATTCAACATTGTCCAATGGGGTCATTATAGACTACTAGGTCTTAACTTCTTAAGTTCGGATTTCAGTTCTTCATTCTGTTTTTGAAGTATATCTGCTTTTATATTTTTGCAACAAACGTAACTTTTTTGCAATAGTATTCGGGGAATCGCACATGTTTCCTTTTCTTTTCTTGGGCTCAGAATGGCATTCAGCAACAGTTTGTGGTATACGGTCTTCCATAACATCTGCCTCGAGGTTTTCATTTTGAGGTAACTTACGTTTGAAAGGACCTTTTCTTGTCTTTAATTGAACCCCGTGCAACTTTATACTTGGAATGACACCCTTCCAAGAATATCTTATTCTCCGTAAAAGTGTAATTGTAAAACCTATTCCAAACAAATACACTAATGAGTAAATAAATTCAGACCTACACTTATGTAAATCTCACCCTTGACTAAACAATCGTGTATTTCTGAAATGACTTTCAACAAAATGATCAGAACACACTCTATAGCTTCTGTTTAAACATTTCACACCTCCTTTCTTAAAAATAGCATCCAAGTCGCTTCTTTTGCAGTTGACCACCCACTGCTTGCACCTAAAATGAAAACAATAGTATAAGCTAGGCCCTACATAACATAAAACTTCATAGAAATTTGTGGAAAAATATAAAACTTCCAATTTGGGTATATACAATAAAGTTACTTACACTTCTGTATTTAAAGGAAATCGAAAGAATGCTTTTGAACAATTTTTCACAGTGGCATTGCAACAACCATACACAGCACAGACCCCACCAGACATGCTGTTTTACGACTTTTTCTCTTCAAAAAGCCAAATCAAAAGTTGCAAAAATTTCAAATCAAATATGACATTTGATTGTGAACACACCCTACCGCACGGTGGCGCTGCAGTCACTTGCGACAGGTTGTCAACGTGAGTTTCCTGTATTATTATATTAAAGTATTTGGCGATAGGCAACAAAAAATGCTACTCTGATTACTGGTTTGCATAGATATATAAATACATAGATACAGCCATACCCCCAACATAGTTCAAAAGGACGTACCATCTATTACCATCACTTTCGGCACATTAATTACGTATAGCGCTATCCTTTATAGAGGTACCCTGAGCATGGAAGACAAGATTCGCATTATTTATTATAACTGTCAATCAAATTGTTCGCACAAGTCACACAGAAAATTATCAGATTTGAGACTTTACAACATAAATAAACCGCCTTTTTATTTATTTAAATCGCATAGCAGCAAGAAATGTTACATTTAAAATGGAAGATGTTACTTAGAAAGCTGGCAAATGAAGAATTTGAAAAAATTACAGCTGACAACTCGAAGAAAGTGTGTGAACATGTGGAAAGTGATTAATTTAAAAGAGAAGTTATATTGGTTGATGTTTCTGAACTTTATAATAAGTGTTAATAATGGCAGTGATGATTCGGATTTGTCAATTTCATCTGACGATTATTCGGATTGTGAACTTTTAGAAACGTAATGAATGTTCGCTAAATGAGTATTATCACCAATTGGATATCATTGTTAAGATGTTGTATTTATTTTAAATAAATGTACACGTGTAGCTTGCTTACTACAATTAGCACTATAATTTCAAAAAGAAACCCCACCGATTGGACATATGCCGAAAGGTAGGCAAGACGCGTAGCGATAAAAAATTTGATATTGCACGCACACACAGTCTATAAATCTCGTTTTCCTAAGAATATTGCACGGATCCTGTGATCATGATACAAACGCACTGCATCAACATTATATAGGCCAAAATGATAATTGGAAACGAATTCACTTCCTGTCGCAACTTAATCTCCGTTACCATTACGCCTAAAACCATGCAATTGAAATTAAAATGTTGAACATAAACTTGACTTACTTACGGTTTTTTTGATATTCTGCAAGCCAGCAATGAATTCACTGCAGCACATCATGCCAAACAACGTAAACATAGTCCCAAATTTAAATGGCGTAGCTCTATGTAATAAAACTATTTCAGGAATAACAATTATGGACGCGTCTATCATTATGGCAAGCACTAATGTTATTCATATACATTTGATAACGCAATAATTACATAATATTTAGTGAAAAAAACCGTCCATCATGTTTAGGGCGAATATTTTTAGTTAGATTTGATTTCGCGCGATCGTGAAATGTGTCAACTGTCACATGACTTATGGGACGCGCTAAGTTTGTTTTAAGCGTCCGATTCGCGTACGACGTAGTGGTTAATGCAATAAAAAGAGATAGAACATGTTTCTTCTTGGTTAGAAAGTAATGGAGAGATGTACAAATTTCTTTGATATGTTTTTTAAAAACCGAGGTACGTTTGTTAAGGATGGCTGTATCTAGGTATTTATATATCTATGCTGGTTTGTTAACCCTGGCGCCATCTCGCGACCTGAATAAGCTATCTGAAAGTTTAGTAACTAAGACATCACGTATAGAAAACTGCAAAATTATACAACTGCTGTCAAACATCAAACATTTAATACTAAAAATATGTAAACACATTCAGACAAATTTATTATTAAATAAAGAAAAATTTAAGCAAATGGCTCGCAATAATGCGCCTATTACAAAAGAGGTTGAATTTAACGAGTTTTATACCGAGGTAAGTTCTGTAAAATTACTCGTAAATTTCCCTATAAGTAATCATGTCACAGGTGAAAGAAATAGAGAAAAGAGATTCTGTATTGACTCCCAAACAACAAATTGAACGATTACTCAGACCAGGCTCCACATACTTTAATTTAAATCCCTTCGAAGTGTTGAATGTTGATCCAGATACGCCGCTGGAGGATATTAAAAAGAGCTACAGAAGACTCTCGATTTTGGTGCATCCTGACAAGAATCAAGACGATGCTGAACGTTCACAACAGGCATTTGAAGTAGTGAGTCGGGCGTGGAAAACTTTAGAGAGCGAAGACTCCAGACAGAAGTGCATGGACATAATTGAAGAAGCCAAAGGCCGTACAGATTTAATGGTATGATTTAGTCATAGTTAAAAAGTTGCCCCATTCACATTCAAAAAAGCAATTTAATAAGTGTTTTTATAGCTTGTAGAGAAACGAAAGAAAGCTAGAAAGGAAGGCAAGGACAGCGTACCCGAAGATGATCCCGAGAAATATAAACATGCTGTTTATGTTCTCACCATGAAACTTTTTGCAGATATGGAACGCAAACGACGCGACCTAGCTGCTAAAGATCAAGAGGAGAGGAAACGTAAACGTGAACAAGAAATCGAGGATGAAGAGAACCAAAAAGCGCAAAAGGAATGGCAGAAAAACTTCGAAGTATGTATTCATGGCAATTGATACACCGTTTCTAACACTTTCTCATTAGGAGTCACGCCAAAATCGTGTTGATAGCTGGTTAACCTTTCAAGCTGGAGGTTCATCAAAATCAAAAGGGAAAGCACCAAAAAAATTGAAATCTTTTAAGCCTCCAAAACCGAAACCGGAAAGTAGATGAATTAGTCCATTAAGTAGATTTAAAGTCACAATATTGTAATTATTTTTCATTTTCTTGCTTTGTTTTTTTTTGTTTTGTAAACAATTCGAGAAAAGTAAGTTAAGTGGTATTTAATTTATAAATGTTATATTTGCTGTGAACAACCCCAAAAATTTTCCAGTGCGGTTTGCAATTTAAAAATTGTATTTTTACATCTGTTTTATGTACCTCATTTTCATCTACATTTAATGAACGACTTTTATACATTCTTCGCTAAGTTGAAAATCAATTATATGAGAAAAAGTTCCTCGTGTATTTATTAAACAGTACTTATTGCACATTTTCCAACAAAGTACATAGCTGTGAAATTTAAGCCAAGAAGAACATTTGATTCTAACCATCAAAATCTATTAAAAAATGATAAAATCATTATCGACCACTTTTGGGGCCAAAAGGTATTTTCAATTTACATTCAAAACAGAACAACTCGCAAAAGAAATCATATAACGTAAACTGCTCTTAGGGATAGTGTGTAATTGCAGTATATTAGGAATATTTCAAAAGCCATAAAGGTATTAAGTGGTACAGTTTGGTAAATGGTTCAATATCTTGTGCTTTTCGATTCAAATCCACCTGCACTTCATAATGGAAGATGCAGTTTATACTACTAGACGAGTGCTCAAAAGTTTTTTTCGCATGGCATTTATGGCAGCGTTCTTTAAAAGTGTCTGATCTGATCGTTTATGTAAGGTGAAACAGTAAAACCATAATAACCTTAGCCATCCTCATCTCGGGATACTTCCTTCAAGGAAAATTAACGTGGGGGCGCCGTTCAAATTGGGCAATTGCCATTGGCAAGGTCCCGCGTATCCATTTCTACATTGCATTTTTAGGATTTATAGGTAACGTCGTATTAGCGAGAGGCGGGATACTGAGGCAATTTCTTTCTATCGGGAACCACTTGCAGATGTGTTACATATTCTTTCCTCGGTACTGCGCAAACGCAAGCGCGCTTAAATTTGAATTTGCTTTAACGCGCTCTAATTAATAAAGCCTTCGGTTATCACTGTGAATTCCTGTTACATTATAGCCCCAACAACCGTCATGATCCTTTACAGCATAATTTGGAATAAACAACAAGAATTGTAACGTTATTATTTATTATAATCAAAACCCTTCTACCATCATGGTGTAGGGAAAATAAATTAACATATTCTACCAGATAAATCACTATAAACCAAGCTATAAACTATTGTGCTCCATTTTTTATAGATGTGATGATGATAGATGTATATGAGTGTTGGGAAACAAGGAGTAGCTTTTTGCAATAGTTTACTCGCCCTGGTGCCACAGTGTTGATCAACCTCATAATCACATGTTATGTTAGTAGCTTTCATTTCTTTCTAATTATCCAATATAAACAATTTTTTTTTTCGAAAACTACCCGAGACGTGAGATTGTAATTCCTAATCAAGTGAGATCTCGACTCAAGATTGCATTCACTAGATGGTAGTAGGCGAGGTAGCGATTTGAAATTTGTATATGACCTGTGTTATTTATTTTATTGGACTGCAAGTGCTAGAAGTCTAGAGCAGCTACAATAGGTCTTGGTCAGCTTAAAGTAGAACTTGTGTGTACTTTCGTTTCGGTGTACATACCTAGAGCACTGAGGTAGCAGTATGTAGGTTTATTGCGAGAGTGATGGAAAAAATTAATAAAGATATTGCAAATGTTTCTTAAAGAGACCTTTACCACATTTTGTAACCCTGTTGGAATCGGTCTCTGGGTAGCCTAGAAGTCGCCCTTATACATGAACATCTGCAGACGTTCAGTTGTCCTTTTAGAATTCAACCCTACAGCATCTGTTCCAAACTGTGGGACCTTTAGTAACTATTTTCATTTTTTCCTGAAGGCTCTGGATTCCCTGGCGGCTACACCATTGCAAATAATGCGTTATAATTTCCTTCTTTTTTTAAAATCTGATGCCCAAATTTAATAACTAAATCATAAACAAATTATCTTTTTTACTATGAATCATCATGCCCCTAAAATTTGTGGGGGTTACTTTTAAGATGGCAATTTCCGTCAACGGAATTTATAATTTATTCTGTGCATTTCATTATAAGAATCACTGATTAGTTTTTCAAAATAGAAAAGTACCTAGTTTTCTCCTAAATTGTGTGAAATCCAAACAATGCCAAATTTTGTTTTAAAAGCGCTGTGATTGGACCATTTTTTAAAATCAGTCACGTGCGATGACGTCGTACCTACTACGTCATCGCGTAATGTCACGTGACCCAGTTTTCAGTTTATCGTTGAAGCCGCTTAACTCGTCCTATGCAGCTTTTCTCCGTTTTCTTTGAAAATAAGAACGATCATTACAAAATAAACGCCAGAAAATTAAAACTAAACACTTGGAAAATTGTGGCACGTCGTTATTTTCGGCCCGTCGTTAATAAATCGTGTTTTCAAACGTTTCAATATTTGGTTATGATGGCGTCCTCTTTGAATTTAAACTCGCGATTGCGTGTTATCTCGATGTTTCTTGCATTGTTTTTAATCGGTAGCAGATGTAAAAATTCCTTACCTTCACAACCTGTTAGAACGATCAGGATCAATTTATCTTGTAATACTAGTTTAGTCTCGATGCTGCATTATGTATTGCATATTGTTTACTTTGTTCCATATGTTATGCTCCCTCGCGACTGTCCTCCTTTCTTCAATTGAGAAGTAATTTAGCTACTTACAATAGTAAACTTTTGAATTGCGATCATAAACGATGCTATGGAGTATTTGTTACACGCCTTAAATGAACACTTCTAACAGATGTGGGTATAATTCGTGCATGCCATACCATTGTGTGGGGTGTATCCACCTAATAAATGTCACATGGCATTAAGGAAACTGGGTGAATAAGTACATCAAATGGAATTTTTATACAAATGTTTTTAATTAAGAATTTTTAAAACCGTAGATCTATGGTAATTATATAGAATGACATTATTACATTAGTTTTTCAAATTATAAGCACCTCCTACACCAACGTAAACCACCACATAGGTATACGATTACTTATTAGAGTAATTAAAAAAAGTGCAAAATCACAGCAGTCAATTGTCTAGTAACATGGTGGTTTACTGGTTTATTTTGGAGATTGGTACAACGTCATCTTTTGTTTCTCCAGAGGTGATATGAAGAAAAATTGCTTTTTTCTAGATATGTTTTGGCATTTGTTATTTGTCCAGTTTTTGGCACAAAATGTACAATAATAACAGTCGTAACATTTATATTATTTGGAAGAACGCAAACTCACTCACGTTTTACTTATGAATATGTATAAAATCTAATAGGAATAATAACTTTTAGGGTGAAAAAGTTAAATTTTTATACATGAATAAAGAGTTAATATATATATATATATATCGCAAGAATGTAGTAAACAGATTTTACCTAAAAAGGCGTACATTAAGCTATAGTAAAAAATTACTTACTCTTTCAACAATAATTATTACTCACTAGGCAGTATCACCTAATCAACATTGAACACCTACATTATATAAAAACATTTAAAAAATGATGCAGATTATGACGTTCTGTAGTCCAGCGTTGGTCGTAACGGTAAACAACCTTCGACCCAAAAGTTAGGCCGTTCCAACATGCTTTTCCATAAGGAAACTTCTTTCCCTGTGGAATCCATCCAATCAACAGATTTACCATAATGTTTACCTATAAATGCAAGTTTTATAAACGGCAACACTTCTTGGTCGCTTATTTCCTACGAGTAAGATTTATTAGTGGGTCCTTAAACTCTAAGATTGTCCATTAAGGTTAGATAAACTGAGCTTAAACCAAATTATTCACTTTTACAAACTTAACATTTCTCAGAAAATTAAACAGAATATCATATATAGGAGCAACCAGAGCTAGGGCTGCATTATAAATAACATGTAAATAGTAGGTAATTATATTAAGAGGTAATGCTTACTTATTATGCTTGATTTATTATAAAAGGAAGTGCATAGTTCAAATGGTTTGCCCATGAGCAAAGAATGTGAAGAAAAACCAGTAAACAAGGTGCAAAAAGACCAAGAAAAGTCTGGAAAGATAAGGTTATTCATCGTAGAAGGGGGGACAGAAACGTGCAAAAATAAGAAAGCTAATCAGTAAATTTTTCTTCATTTTTTGGTTTGGTGCTGGATTTTCAAAAATCAATATTATTCATCTACGAGACACCGTAAACGGCGTAAACAATATTTATTAATAAAACATATTTTGTACAGCTGAGGCTCTATCATGCTAGACTGCTAGCAATAAAAAAATAAAACAACACCGCAATAGGTTTTTTTTTAAAAAAAAACCTTTTTTGTGTGTATTTCTCAATGAGAAATGAGAAAATTTTTTGGGGTAAACAAAACAAAAGACAAGAAACAATGGAAACTGAAGAATTTCAAACATATGTATAGGTATGTACACCTTCTACCTCATACAAAACCTTATGGTTAATAGCTAAAGAGTATAGGTACTATAAGGCAGAACAGAGATGAGAGAACACTCTTACCTTCGCCCAAAGAAAATCTGACACCACCTAGGAACTCATTACTGCCCAAGCGATCGTGATCCCATACAGTTAACTCTAGACAGCGTTCTGCCAACTCCTGCAACGTCACATCATCGTATGAAAATGTATGATTCCACACTGCATTGACCGTCTTTCTAATAACAGCAGTTTTCTGCTTCGAAGTTCTACCTTTATCAGGTAAAAGGTAACTAAAAGATGGATTATCAGTCACGCAAAATATTAATATTGTCAACATTTACCTTTTGCAGAAAGGATCCGAAGTTCCGTTACTCTTCACGGCAGTTAAACTCTTTGCTTCTTTAACCTTGACATGTAATGTCCCTCGAGATCTCTTACCTTTCTTCACGACTGACATATCAGGTGGAACAAATTTTAGACCCACTAAAATGTCCCCTTTAAATGACAGCACGTCCTCAAACGGTTCAGTCTGCAAAAAACAATTAGTCATCGAGGCAATTATACTTAAACGTGCGCGTACCCGCTCCTGTAAACTGTACCACTTTGGAGTAGGATCATCGAAAACTTTATTTTCTAATGCCATCCTGACTTCCCCCAAGAAGTCATTACGACCAAACATGTCCGAATGCCAGACAGTTAGCCATAAAGTTCGGGTTTCTAGGCCAGTTATCGATATATGAAATTTAAGACATTCATCGAAAACGGGATTAAGGGTATGTTTCCTAACTTTGGTTTTCCTTTTTCCACTTTTTGATTTATCTGGCAGCAAATAAACCTTAACGTATGGATCCGAGCGATTGCGTTTCGCATCGACTGCGGCTAGATCTTTACATTGTTTTATTAATATTTCCAGTGCGCCCGCTTTATAATTATATTGTAATCCAAATTCTACTTGACCACGAACTGCCACTGCACCATATCGGCCTTCACCTGCGCCCGAGTAGACACTAGCCATTGAATCTGAACGTAACTGAAACAGACAAATTAAAAAGTGATAAGAATTTAAAAAGGATTGTTTATGTTTTTAATTAAAAAAAAAGGTTATTTATCTGAAAAGTAAGCTTGAACTTAGTTTATCATCTCCAGATTAGTAAAGTAAATACAACAGTTTTATATAAAGTGAAATGTGATAACTTTTGCTGCATACAGTCTGAAGAAATCAGATGCTAACAAACTTATTTTTAGAAAAAAAGTGAAATGCTGCAGAACTGCAGGATCTGGTGTAAAAATCCCGCAATTTCTAAGTGGTCGCAAGGAAACGAAAATTGACTGAAAGAGATTCCTCAGTTCATCTTTACCACCTAAATTAAGAACAGCGGATCAGAATATTTCATAATTCATAAAATCTCAAAATGAGAGTCGAAACCATGAGTTACGGAAATCTGCTGTGGAAGTGGAAACAACAAAGTAAAGAAGTGATACTGAAGTTACTTAAAAGAATTTGTGTTAAGCTCCCTCATCCCCGCTTCTTATTCTTCATAATCCACCACTTGTCTTTTCCTTTGCACTGCTATTGTGCGAAGGTTCCTCTGTGAAAAAAGGTTTTTGTTCTTAGTACCTATGCTATTAATTGAATCTTTCCTAACATAGCGCGAGTAATTTTATTTTCAAAATGTAATTTTTATTGTTACTACATCAATGTAAGAATTAACTATACGTTTTTTTAATTTCTTTTAATGATAGAGAACAATTTTGGGTGAGGGAAATGTTTTTACAACTATTTATTTCCTAAATGACGATGTATCGCACCAAACATTAGACTGGGGAAATAAAATACGAAGTGCGTGTTAAGAAATGGTACATACTAAAATTTGATACATGATGAATGGGGTCATGTGGTTTTAAAGTTAGCTATAACATGCCAAACTCAAAGAAACGAGCACTTTATATCGTTTAGGTATGTTCAGAAATTTATGCTCAATGTTAGATCTTGCCGTTACTGGAAGGTGGAAAGACCAGGCCTAAATACATTTTTCAGGTTCTTTGGAGTGACTACTAATTCGAAAAAAGTCAATTGTTTGCGTGTCCCCAGAAAAATCTCAGTAAGGATCAACAAAATATTATGTACCTATCTATACTGTTTGTAATCGAACTCATCAATACAGCACCAAGTTTTTATTATGGGTATACAAATTACCATCATAGTGTATTACGCGAGGATTACGAAACTTACAGCCTACATCTACCCAATCTCTTTCCCCAACCTAAATTGGCAGATAAGGAATATTGCGGTGTATAACTAATTGTACTACCTAACTGATTTGTTCTCTTATCCGCCACAACCAAAAGTGTGATAAAATCACTTCCACCCCTCTCTGTCAAAACTTTGAATCAATAGCTATAAGGGTCGATCATGCCACTGAAAAACAGTAAAAAATTTCGATTGCAATTCAAATCGTGAGCTATAATCTCCAGTATTGTATTTGTTTTTATACGTCTGTGCAAAATACTTACACCTAAACTGGATAAACTACTCCTATTTGTATGTATCGCGACAAGCCTGTCGATGTCCTCCTCATTACCCGCATTCCATTCTTCTCCTTGCTTAACAGGCAGATCTTTTCTACTACCTTGTGATACCGGACTAGGAGTTCCACTCTTATGGGTCGCTTTGGGTATAACCATTGGCGATGAGTTTGCTTCTGACAAACCCGCGTCATCTGTAAAAAAAAAGAATGAACATTACAAGCGAAATGATCGTTTAATTGAGAATTAGGCGATTAAACTAGCAAACTTATTCACATTTTGTGTGTAGCGCCATTTTCTCATTATCCTCCCAAGCGATTTGTTTTTACCTTCATTTTCGCGAGAAGGATTAACATCCGGGATATCTTCTGTTATGTCATCGTCATCGACAACCTCTACTATTTCCGCTTCACAAAGATCATGGTCATTGTATGAAGAAGCGTCAGTACAACTCTCTTCGTTAGGTTCGTCATCTGCTATCGCAGTGTGATCAGATGCACTTTCCGTTTTGTCATTTTCTGGCTCAGACACGTTACATTCGTCATGTTTGAGCAACGCGACGTGTTGTTCACTTACTAATGGTTCCTTGAGCGCTTCCAAGCTCTACATACAGTGTAAATCACTTGGTAACCAACTCAAAATGTTAACAATTACCTGGTATTTAAATTTACCATCAAGAACTTCAACCTCATCTGCAACAGACGCAACGGGAATGCGGCAACAAAATAGAAAATAGCAACATTTTTTATACGACGAACCGTCACCGTCGGATGGCTTCCTTTGCAATTGGGAATTTTCACCTAAATTGTACGTAGCCGAACTTTCCATTGCGCAGAAACTAGGCTACTGATTTAATTTATTAGCCAATTGAATGTTTTAGTTCCTGTTCTACTTCCTGGTGGTTTTCTGATAAGGTGGTGTGTTATCATGATTTTATTATTAAGTAGAATTGCAATGCGATAACGGTAAAGGACCAATTCCGTTCATGAAAACGGAAACGTAGAGCTTCCATTGGCGCACACACAATCGCAAACAAGCACTTATACAGAAAGCAGAAAGCGTTTAGGCATACAAGGGGTTGGGTAACCAATAGTGGACAGGTATAACGCGGTAGATTAAGTACACTATGATTGATAAAAGATTATGGTTAACACTTAACATAAAGTTCATTGTTGAAATTCAATAAATTCCGACAGCAATAGCTATTTGCGGTAGGTATTTTTAATAATACATGAACATCAAAGAATACCTCCTTTATGTAACACTTGGTATATATTTGTATGAGCGTTGGAAATCCAACCAACGTAAAATCAAAGTCAGGTTAATCGTCAAAATCAATTTCGATTTCGCAATGGGAGGTAGGTGCGATCTTCAGTAACATATGAAATTTTTGCAAATGTAGGTAAAATATGCATAGCTAAGCCGTTTTAAGTTGCCGTTCAGTCCCGGCTGAACCGGTTAGCAACCCTGCTTTCGTTATCGACTACCGTTTTTGATATCATTGGGGCGATATGGAGATTTTTATCGTACTACAAAATCAAACGTACGACTGCTTACGTTCCACAAAATAAGAAAACATTGAAAAAGTTGAAATAACTTTCTGAAAATCGTTGTCTTAACTAGAGTCGCTAAAATTACTCACGGAAGCGCGTTTTAATCATAATAAATAATGTAATTGTTAGATGCTTTAGCACTTTCGCCCTTATAGGACACAATTGTTGGACCATCAGAATACTTTCTCGCGGGGACATTTTTGTTGGAATTTTATTGCCTTTTCAACAATTCCAACATTTCTTATGAACGTTATTCCATCAAAAATCATCTAACACTCGATGAATCGGCTGAAGAAGCACAAATCTTCCAATAAATATAAACTGTATCCATAATAATACACTACCATAGCATCTCGCTCTCTGGTTGTTACTGTTATTGCACGTCGCCAAACTACCGTAGGTTATTGGCGAAAGTCTAATGAACCTAATGAACTTTTGCACTAACATTTTTGGAATTTTTTTAGTTTTTTAAGCTAATTGTGCCAGTAAGTTAATACAGGTAAAATAAACTCACCCAAAGCCAAACACTGTCCGAAATGGCGTGATAAGGAGAACCACTACCTATCCGCATATTTTAGAGAGGGTGAAATATACAAATTTGGTTAAATGGAAGAAAAGTTGCGCAGTCAAAGCTTTTAGAAATCTTTGAAAATTGTTTTGGTTTTGGAATATTTTGAAAAAATCGGATTTTTCCATTTTACGAACATTTTTCCTGCCGCTAACATTTGTCCTAGCTAGTCTATAACTTTTGATTGAGAAGTCTGATCGAAAAAGTACGAATTGTTTTGGATTCTACGCACCAAAATTAATAAAAAAAAGTGTTTTCCCGAGAAATTTTGGTGTAGTCGATTTTTGGTAAAAAAGGAAGGTTATACACTGCCTTCTTTTGAGGCTCAAAAAAAAAATTGTCTCAGATCGACCGGAAAAAAACATTTTCTTATAGAATATGGCCTGTAGAATCCATAATTTCAAACAGTTCCAAGATTGGGCTACTAGTTCAAAAGTTAGAGCCCTTTGAATTTTCTTTCGAAATTGGTTTCTAGTGACCTAGAGCAAAACCAATGGCAGTTCTCCATAGCAACTTGCAGTGCGGCATCGCGTCGCGTCACCTGGCCGAGTGCAGCGCGAGTGAGAATATTTGAGTAATGGGTAATTGCGGCCCACAAATCCCCCAAAAATAGTGCGACAATTACGTTATAACAGTACCAAAATCGATAAAAAATATAGCACAGCCATATCATAATGACAATGAAATGTATCTGACTTTTGATCCTGGCTCAGGGGGTTGATTTCCGAAATCCAAAATCGAATCACCTATCTTAGGTTACGGTCCATCTGGACGCCAAATTGCAACTTTTGAGTTCAGTTCCTATAATTGTGAGAAAAAATGACGGTTAATCGAACGTTTAGACCTTTTTATATTTTTGATAAAGTAGCTGCTTGCAATACTAAGGTTTCTTAATGAATAGAACTATAATAATAATTGAAGGAAAACGTGTTTCAATGACGATAATCATTATTTAAAAAGAAAAAAGGTAAAACAAAAGGATCCTTGAAGCCACCCGGCCATTAAAATCTACATAAGACTATTAACACTATAGAAAATGACATCACGATAATAAAAAATGTAAGCGATTCCAATACGGTTCACAAACATTTATTGCTGACTGCTGATTTAATTACCATCCTATTCCGACATGCACAGGTAAGGTTTCCTGCATTGTAAACTTATGAGTAGTCGCAGTAGGTCTTCGTTGACATAAATTTCCACATCTGTTTTTCACGGCGACTCGTCATTGGGTCACCGAACGATCGTGTACTTTCGATTTCGAAAAAAACGGGCGCGCCACGTACGTACAAGGATATCCTACCGTATCAAATTTTCTTTTGTGACTTGTAATTAAACTTGATACATAATTCTCGAATGTCACTGAACCTTGTTTAAATACCAACATTAAAATACAATACCGTGAAATTACACACGTATGGAAAGAGAGGGACCATTTTCCGTCTGTTTTCTCTAATATGGTAATAAATTTCTAGACTATTTCGCAACCGTGTCACGTAACAACTTGACCGTATCAACCAGTGTATTACAAAAATTCAAAGTAAAACTTTATATTTCGCAACATCCGGGAGAATTTATCTAATTTAAAGGGCGTTAACAATCTTTTCTTTATAAGTAGACACAATACGAGTACTTAATGAATTAATTCGCCATGTTCATGAAGTTAATTAACGGAACAATTAACTCAATTAGTTACAATTACGTAAACTACAGTTACACCGCTTTTATTAATTTCAATTATTCTCAAAACCGAATCTAATGTATACCCTTGTAGGTTTTGATCTAATTCGAGTCCTTCGGTTCCAAATTTAATTAAATGAACCCAACCCTCGACCCAACCTTGGTACAAGAAACAAAAACTGAACTCTCATCTTGGTGCCTAATCAAGAATTTGGTATAGCAGTTATCTCAAAGACGAATTTTCTTAAGGTTCATCCGTTGGGGTCGCACTTTCCGGAATGTGAAGTTTGCCTGGAACGTGTCCCAGCGAGGGCGAATACTCCATGAACGAATACTTTGAGGGTCAACATCAGCGAACACTTCTGGGTGAAACCGAGGGGGAAACAGAACTTGGAGAAAAAATATTAACCATAATGAAGACTTCTTTTTTATCAGTCGCAAGCGTTTCGCAATGGATATACCTATGTAGTTTCAGTTTTACCACAATCCTTCCGCATTGATGAGATTACATTTGTAATGTAAGTTTAAAATCCGAACATTGCTTAAAAAATGAGACACTTACAGCGGAGCTCTTCGCACGAGTAACTTTCACCGTGATGATCGTTGGTCGAAATGCTGATTGAGAATTTACAAGCCATTCGAATACTTAAAGATTGATTTTTCGCATGGTGCACAACAAAAGCGTGTCATTGAGATTTGTTTACCCATAAACCAAGTTCAATAACATAAAAACTAATTACTCACGTACCGCGAGATCACGCAATGTTATGTTGTAGATTGGATCTGGTCCCAGTGTGAATGAATGAACTTCTATGGAAGAAGCTGACCTTTAAATAAGTTATAAATACACGCAAGTTACGTTGAAATTGCGCTATTTCCGAAGTTCCCCTATTGTTACTGGAAGTCATTATTCTGCAAGCATTATGTTTCATTTGACGGAAAAATTGATCCTAAAGACAAGAAGAAGCGTGACCGACCGCTCCCACTGAGTCACCCATTTTTCGTAACCGCGTTTCCACCCTAACGGCGGACAACACGAAAGTAATTATCTGCACCTACGCCTTACCTGGATTACAAACAATAAAACCACAACATAATTTAATTGCTTTACGTAAACGGGAAAAATTAGACGTTAACTGAAGTCTAATTGGTGTGACTGGTTCGTTTCAATGCGGAACAAATAAATTCATTGTTAAGTTACCAACACTCTGAAGGTGAGGTAAGTGATGTATGAGGAAGAAACTAGAGTACCTACGTTTGCGATTCTTGCACCGTAACGATTCATAGAAATGCATTTGAAAAGCTCGGATTTGACACGTTTAATAGCGATAATACGTAGATTGTTTAAAAAAAATATAGAATATTTTAATTGGTTGATATGAAGAACGATGAA